AAACCCTTAAGCCCTACACCCTCAGAGTAAGACAGGGCCTTAGGTCTCTCTCAGAGCGTTGGGCTTCACGGCGTGGTCTTTGGGTTCAGGATTTCGGCGTTGGTTGCGAGCTCGTCCCAGGATGTGAACCCTTCGAGATCTAGCCTGGCCCTGGCCTGAGACTTCAGCTCTGCGTGGCTTCCCAAGATTTCTTCGAGACATCGTGGTGGAGTGCGAGAACCGGCTTGGGAATATGGATATGAATATGCGAAAATGATGGATGCATGCATGCATGCATGTATGTACGCGTGTATATGTGTATGTATATGTATATGTATACGTATACGTATATGTATGTGTATACGTATAAGTATATTCATCATATTCCTACCATCGCAGGTGTTGTTGTTCGAACCTTTTTCGGTTTCAGCGAGGATGAGTACGTCTCGTGTTAGTGGTTGGGTTGCTTCCGAGTTTTCAAGTTCGTGCCTGCATATGCTGTCAGAGTTTGACTGCACTTTGTGCCCGTATTCCGCTGTGGCTTTAAGTCATCATTGCAGCACCCAGCCCTGAAGCACGAGTCCCACACACAGTCTAGGTGAAGGGTAGAAGGATCCCGCAGGCCGCAGGACGTTTCAAACCTTTGGTTCTGTTTTTTTGATACAGGATTCACTTTCCCATGAGTCGATTTGCAAGCCCTCTTTCTCAGTCACAAGCATACTACACTCACGACCTGCATGGATGAAACCCCTAAACCGGAAATTCGACACCTTCGTTTGAACACTTCTGAGACTCTTCAGATCCAGGTGTGCGTCCCCACGTGCCCGACGAGCGCGGGTCCTCAGACATCCTGATTTCCCCCCCCCCCCTCCCGCCAGACTTTACGGAGTCGTAATCGGGCAGAAACAACGATTTGTAGGGTTCTTCAACCCGGCATACACAACGGTTTTGTAGAGCCAGAAATGCCAGACCCTTGTTTGGATCATGGTTAGCACTGTTTGCCGCGAGGCCGTATCCTGACGGCCATGGACCGTCCTTCTGGCACTTCAAAAATCCAGAACCATTCACACGCCAGATAGCAAGAAATGCGCAGGCGGTGTAGGCTCGTTGCTCCTGCCAAGCAAAGACAGAGGAACTTATGACATGGGTGTTGAACCCTAAACTTTAAACCCTAAACCTAAACGATTGAGGTCGAAGGACACCAGCTTGGTGTGGCTCAGGGCTGCGAGCTTCGTGTTTCGCGCGAAGGATTTAAAGCTCACGGCGTTGGAACGAAGCCTTCGCTCCTGAAGACTGCTTCAAAGGTTCCACTTGCAGGTTTTTGCTTCTACTCCTCAATTGAGCAACCTCCCTTCAAACCCTCTTTCTTAAAACCTGAGAGCCCGAGCCCCAAACAACAATAAGTCATCAGCCTGAATTACGGCATTGCTGTTCGCATTCTTGTTGTTTCCGATTAGTCTGATATCTTCTCCCATCCTCCAGCTGTCGTCGGAGTGGTCAGGCATGAATTGTTTTAGGCGCGCGTAGGGCTTCATTCAGACGCACTTGCAGAAAGCCAGTGCGAACCCAATCTTATATGACCATAAGGCATCGAAGGGCAGACTGCTGCAGCCTACTGCGATGGCCCGGCCCTTGACGTTTGGGGCATCAGACTCGTTGGGCTTGGGGTTCAGGGTTCTGGTTGTCGGATGTGGCTTCTCCGAGGAGACGTTCTCTTGAACGCAGCAGCCGAAGTGTGACCGAAGGTATTTGACAGAGATCTTGAGGGTTCAGGGTTCACCCGACACCCCAAACGGTCAACCACTTTGAGTCGTGGGTTCAGATTTCCAACTATGCCTTTCTTTACAAAAGCACCAAGCCGTACAGAATTCAGACTAGGCGGGGCTACTCTCAGCAGGGACTCGCTGCAGCATGCAGCATCGAAGTAATTTTAGTCTGCAGACTGCTGTTCGATGGATGTAAGTATCTGGATGTGTACTCAACCATTTCAACCTTGTTGCCATGCATGGGGATTTGAGCCACAATCTGATTTACTTCCCGAACGTTTCTTCTGTCGGTGGCTGCATGGCTCGTGTTGGGTCTAGCCCCTGTAAGCCTGTAAGCCGAAGGAAGCAGGAGGATTTAATACTCTTTTATGCTCATCATGCTGGCGCAGCAGGCTACAGAAGGCTTTGCGAGTCGTATGCGCAAGATCCCTCACGGCGCCCACGCGCAACATGGGGGCAAACGTACCCCAAAATAGGGTGCCGAGCACGGTATGCTGTACTGAAAGATGCCGCTAGGTGTTGTAGCTGCCGTATCACACAGATGCAGCTTGAAGCCAAGGTGGGCAGCCGGACTACCCCTCCATCCCGATTGCGGACAAAGTCTGCTTCCCCACGGACCTTGGGCAGCTTTAACAACAGGCAACGCCCATTCAATTCAGGACCGACAGAAGCAGGCACAGGTAGCTGTAGCAGACATCACTTTTTCAGTAGATGGTAATTGTAGGCTTTTTTTTGCTTGCTTTAGTGTTCAGGATTGCAAGAATGAGCCAGCTTTAGCATTCAGGGTGTTGTGGTCGGGATGGGATCCGACTGTGTACGCGCGAGAGATACAGAGATACGCACACACAGTGAGGCAGAGAAATGCGTGAATATATGCACGCAGGTACATGCAAACATACATATGCACATGCATACATGCATTCTTCCACACAGACAATTACACATGCTTAAGTGTTGCTTAAGCATATGCTTATACCTATACATAGAAAACACGTTTAGACAAAAAACTATGTCTATATACACACATGTAGCATGTATATGTATATGTGTTCGCCCTAAACCCATCTTTTGTTTGTCCATGCATGTTTTTTGGTCATACCCTGCTTGGCCTATCGCGTGTCCAGACCAGCCTAGCTTAAAGGTTTCTTTCGGTCTGCTTTCCGAGCTTGTCTTTGGAGGTTGTAGCTTGAAGTCCTGCAGCCAAACATCGTACGGAAACCGGCTGGAGCACACGCTGCAATTCTCAAGGCACCTTAACCCCGTAAACCAAGGACTCGGACCGCTTCGTCATCTTGAACCATCTGGCATTTCGACTTGGTGTGTCCGGTCCTCAATGCAGCCTCACTTGATTGCAGCGCCTCATTATACTTGGAAGAGCCTCAGTCGCTAATGTCTTTCCCCGGTGGCAGGAATAGCAGCAGTCTCAAGGCTTGTGCTTTACAGGCAGGACTTGGGGCTTTTGAGGGTACCGGCACTTCTTATCCTCCGCCGCTCTACAATGATCAATAGACCTAAGAACTCTGCGGACCTTGCCTGGGTTCCTCCGAGCCCAAGCGTCAACGAAAAAGCCCATAAAGCCCGAAGCTCCCTAAACCTTACTGTAAACCCTAAAGTTTCTAAACCCTACATCCTGGCTTTCTCACCCAACGGAAACTGGCTGATGAGAAAAGGGGCCATGAAAAAAAGAGAAACCTGCATCCTAAACCCTAAACTGTCTACCGAGATTGCAGAGACGCAGAGCCTGGAGTTGTCTGGCTTCGTTCCTGGAGTAGTGGGGGCGCAGTAGGATTATTAGGTGCTTGGACCCTTTTTTGCATAACCCCGCAAGTGCAAGGGACAGCTTCCTGGCGTCCATGGTGGAGGTTCAGAAATCGCCGGGTGCTCAGCTACCTGCATCCCAACAGTTCTTGGGTTTAGGGGTTAAGTTGTTGATTCTGCTTTTCCTTCCTGAACTTGTCTTCAAGTTACAACGTCGAGGCTCCCGCCAAAACCCGCATCCAGCTGTCGCGCAAGCGGCCGCAGTTCGAAAGGTTAAGGATTCCTCTTCCGCGGCTGAAGTAGCTTCTTCATCTCGTTGGGCTTCACAACTATAAATCCCTGAGCGCAGATGCTTCCAACCCGCCTCCTTGAGTTATTTAGGGTTCCTGGAGTTTCTTTCCTTGGTGCAATACAAAGCCCGGATATAACTCATCAAAGCCGTACAAACCATCAAACACCATGAAAAATCAGATGAATCACTAAACCCCTAAACCCTACCTACACCCCTAAGCCCCAAGCCTCAAACCCTCCGATTTCTTTGAGGTGGCCAGCGCTCTTTTTATCCGGCCTTTTGGTGTTGGCCTTAAGTCGGGGCCTCAGAAGTTGAAGAGATCGCGGCCCCGGGGGTTTCCGAAATAAACATGTGTAAAATAGGGGCCTAAATAATTACCGACACAATTTTGAGGGCTCCTTATTCATATTATAAGTATCGTGCTTATTCACCAAAAACTTATTCATCCTATTCTGAGAATGAAAGTTACGGCCCTTAAAGTAGCTTTGGGGATTCGTTGCAGGGTGCAGGGGTTCAGGGTGTAGGGTCTGCGGGCGTTGGGGGGTCTATTTTAGGGCTTGTTAGGGGCTTGGGATTCCGGTTTTGAGGGCTTTGGGTTGAGGCTTTGGGGAATGTTAGTTGAGGGGGCCCTTTCTCGAATTTTTATTTGGGAACCTATTCGGAACTCACAGTGGTTAGTGTCCGAAGAGCTTGGCAATTGAAAAGTCCGGGTGTGTAGACGAAGGGGGGGTTAAATGACAGCAATCGTAATTCCTCAGGGCTCGTTCTTTGATTGTATGATATAACCTTCCCCAAATTCCTATTCTGACCCTTTAAGGCCCCTACACTTTGCTTCACGGGGTTTCTGGATCCCCGAAGCCTAGTTACTGCCCTACTGTCCTTTTCGGGTCATAGCAACGTAATTTATCCACATGCACAAGTGAGCTTCTCAAAATCTCGTTGAGTTTCAGAAGGGATTCTGGGTGGGGTGTAAAGGGAATCAGTACACGTAGGGTTTGGAAGTCGGGCTTTCTTCAGAGCCTACTGTTTTGGGCAAAAGGTGCGGCATCTGAAGACTTTCTGACAATGCCGAATCAGGCAACGGTTGGTTCCAGCTCCTGATCTCCAGGTTTGTACCACGGCAAGCTTTCAAAATCAGTGCTGCAGCCCTTTGAAAGCAGGTGAGGGTTGTTCCTGTTTCGACTCGGCAGAAACCTTGTCTTGCGATGCAGTGGTTCAGTCTTCTGGCTGTGCTAGCCTCCGCCACCGCTATCAGTCAGTGTGATACCGCATCAAGAGGTGGCGAGTGCCGGAAGCCAAGTGGACACTATGGACCGGCCTTCCTGCAGTTCAAGAGTCTAGTGAAGCAGGCGACCGGCTGCCAAGGGGACGACGGGACCCTTTGCACCCCTGAAGTGTCGAAATGCGCGCCTTTCTCTGAATGGCCTGATGTGGACAATGGTGTCACCTGTGGGGGCTGCAAAGCGCTAGTGCTTGCGGCACCTTATCAAGGCCGCTGCGACCGGTATTGTGCCAGCTTCGGGCATCGATGCACCGCCGCTGCAGAAGAGAAGTCCGAGTCTTGCGAGGCTGAGGAGGATCATGGGGCTTTGTAAGTTGCTAAGTAGCAGGTGCTTCAGAAAGGTAGCTATAGTTTGTTGTTGTAACTACTGCTACGGCTTGGATGTATTCTGATGTAAGGTCGCTACAGACATTATTGCTAACTACTCTTGGAAATCACGGTGAACCCTCATGTCTACAGGAGAAACGTTGCGATGAGGAAATCTCTGACACCTCGGACATCCTTTGCACTTGCGAGCGTGAGGACGGGGCTCCCAGCTCCACTCCCGGGCCTGCCCCCGCCCCTTCGACAACCACCACAGCTCCACCCTCCCCTCCAGCACCCCCAACGCCTGCTCCTCCTGAAGTGTCGAATTGTGCGCCTTTCTCTGAATGGCCTGATGTGGACAATGGTGTCACCTGTGGGGGCTGCAAAGCGCTAGTGCTTGCGGCACCTTATCAAGGCCGCTGCGACCGGTATTGTGCCAGCTTCGGGCATCGATGCACCGCCGCTGCAGAAGAGAAGTCCGAGTCTTGCGAGGCTGAGGAGGATCATGGGGCTTTGTAAGTTGCTAAGTAGCGGGTGCTTCAGAAAGGTAGCTATAGTTTGTTGTTGTAACTACTGCTACGGCTTAGATGTATTCTGATGTAAGGTCGCTACAGATATTATTGCTAACTACTCTTGGCTATAAGAGAACTAATCATAGAAAAATCACGGTGAACCCTCATGTCTACAGGAGAAACGTTGCGATGAGGAAATCTCTGACACCTCGGACATCCTTTGCACTTGCGAGCGTGAGGACGGGGCTCCCAGCTCCACTCCCGGGCCTGCCCCCGCCCCTTCGACAACCACCACAGCTCCACCCTCCCCTCCAGCACCCCCAACGCCTGCTCCTCCCGCGGAGTGCTGGGCGGAGCTTCCAGACCTGGCTAGGGAGGAAGGCGAAAGCATTGGGGAGGTGCCGAAAGGCTCATCAGTGTCGGCGTGCCGGCGCCGCTGCGATGAGAATCCCGAGTGCAAAAGCATCTCCTTCTGCCCAGAGTCTTGGCTGTGCATCGAAATAGTTCTTGCTTCATTTAGTTTAGTGTAATAGGTTTTGTAAGAAGAGCGAGAAGTAGAATTCTTAAAGGCCAGCAAGAACAGCCCAGGAATGGGGCTGCTGGTTGAAGGATCGCAGCTTCACAGGTACAGAGCCAAGTCGGGAGAAAGGGTCGTGCAAGACGCACTTCAAGACATCCTGCGATGCGACGACTACCACTACTGCAAGCTCCAATCAAAATGGCTACTTCAAGTTGCGGGTCGTCTCTTACAACATCTATTGGTGGAATGCCTTCGGTCAGAATCCATGGAAGGGAGTTACTTAGCAGAGCAAGGAACACGTAACCGTCTTCAGGTATCATACTCCCTGTGTGACCTCACAGATTAGCCTTTGGCTCCCTTAGAAGAATGGACAAGCAAGGAGAGGATTCTCAACAACATCAAGGACAACCTTGTTCCCGATGCTATTGGCTTGCAGGAGCTTCGGTCTTAAAACGGCGAAGATGACTCTCGCCCCGAGCCAAAGTTTTCACTCTCTATGTCTCTATGTAGTGGGGCATACTGCAGTCCTTCAAGCAAAGTTGTATCAGACACAGTGCACCGCGGCGGCATCCGCCCTCCGCGAGAGAGAGAGAGAGAGAGAGACAGAGAGAGCTTACGAGTCAGTTGTGGATGATGTAGTGTATAGACGACCTGCGTGTAACTGCTAAGCCTTAGCCCTCAGTCGAAGGGCTTTCAGGGGTGCTCACCTTTCGGAGACGTGACTTGTTGTGGTTCTTCTTGCTTGCGTCTCCACTGCAGGGCTCGGCGGGATTTCAGGCTGTTGCCTACTAAACTCGGCAGTTCAGAAGCAGGTGCAATGCGCCCTTTCACCGGCCTTGTGGCTTGAGATCCTCACGCTATGTTGCAACCGAGTGTGCGGCGAGTGATGTCCTATGTTTGGCCTATGCGTTCGTCGCTTATAGGCTGTCACTCTCGTTCCCCGGGACTTGCCACCACGTCTTTCGGTGCAGTTTCCCTGCAGTGCGACCTAGTGAGCGAAGCGGGTAGGAGAACAAAAAGCCTCAACCCTTCAACCCTCCCTAAGCCCTAAGCCCTCTCCTGTCTCTCTGATCCCGAATGCCTCAGAAAACCGTCTCCACACCCTTGTGGAACCTTCTAATATGCAAAACCCCCTACTGCAAACAAGCTTCTGAAATCTGGAACGTACCGGAAGGAGTGTGACTCTCGCTCGCGGGTCGAAGATGCGACCGGGCTCCGGCGCGCCTCGAAGTTTGCCGGGGCGCAGGGTGCCTTGGGTGGTCCAGCTTGGGATTGGGATTTGTACGGTTTGGGATTCAGGGTTTAGGGCTAAAGGGCTTCGGTTTAGGGTTTAGGGTAGGGCTAAAGTGCTTCAGGTTCTGGGAGGTCTGTCAATTTCCTTATTCCAAGAACTGCGGCTGAGCTGCATCTAGCTGTGCACCCGACATTTTCAGGGTACCCCAAGCATGCACAAGCAGCACATCGGCTTGAAAGAGCCGCCACAGCAAGTCTATGAACCGTATAAACCTGAAGGCATACATAGGAACCTGATTAAGAAACCCTGGTTCTTTGTCAGGTTCGTTATACTGCACTGATATTATGGATCCTGATTTATTGGGGTTGTAGGGCCAAGGTTTCTTAATCAGGTTGTATACATTATGATCCCTCCAGGTGTGATGGTGGACCCTTCCCGACTTCGCGTCGTGCCAGGCACGTCTGGTTCCGAGGACCTGAAGGCAACAGGTAAGTGGGGACCTAGACACGTCACCTTCGTCCAGCTCGCCGAACCTCGGTCGGCAGTTTGAAGGGCTAATTTGTTCTGAGTAAGGCCTATATAAAAGCAGTGAAACTATCATATACCATAATAGAGTACAATATGCAACGAGACATACTATAGTTTACCAGATTCTACTATGTGCATATACCCTAAGGGGGAATTTCTCGAAACCTTGCAAAAGGTAGTTTCCTTAGCAAAGGATACGACCACGGGAAGGACCTTCTGGATTTTCAACACCCATTGGTGCGTTGCCAACGGCAATGGCCGAACTTGCAATGAGGGCGTGCGCTACGCTGGGGCTCGGAACATGCTCAGGGTGATTCAGTCGAAGGCCGGCAACTCCCCGGTAGTTGTGACTGGCGATTTCAATGCCGACATGGACGAGGACGGCCCACAGCACTTCTTTAAGAATGGCTTCAAGCTAGCAGTCACTGAGTGGGTAGATGCCATTTTCTATACGGAGCAACACTGGAAGCTAGTTGCACAGGGTAAGGGTGACGCGGCACAGAGTGACCATCGCCCAATCTTTGCAGAGCTTGAGCTCTTGTGAGCATGGACTTCGGTGAAGAGCACCGTTTTGAGGCCTGCTATGCTACGGTTGCGTCCCGCACCAGACCCAGGAGTGTTCTGAAGGCGTGGCTAATTCAGTACAGATTGTTGCAGAGGGCACAAGCCTTCACTTTTGCTTGGTGGCACAATGCTCACGTGACTTGGCGTGAACGTATCGTCACCGTTGTCTCCTCCGAAGCTTAGTCGCTTAAGGGTTTAGGGGTTTAGGGTTCAGGGTTTGATTCTGGGGTATGTTTCCGACTACTGTGAGTCTTCCTATCATTATTGCGTCACCTGCAACTGCACGCAGTGAGTGCTGTTAGTACTAGGCTCTGAACAGGTTTTGTTCAAGTTCATGCTGTTCAGAACGGCCACTGTCATTCACACACAATGGTTTCCAACGACTGCCTAGACCGTGGGAAGGGCTAGCTCGGAGGCTACAGTTGTTGAGGCCTCTGACTGTCAAAGATGTCACGGTCGGAGGCATCCCCGATGGCGAGCCCTTTAGGGGTGCCTTTTCCCCGAAGAGCATCCCGAAGTTTGTAGGTCTACGATGCCGGGTTTTGGAGCCGAGGATCGATTTAGGGAACATCAGGGACTGGTTTGCGGTTGGCCATTTGGGAAGTCAGATTTGTCAACAGCCTGGCACATGGCCGAACGCAGAAAAGGCTGTGCTGGAGGATCTCGCTCCCAGAACCCTAGATGTCACTAAACAACCCTGAAACACAACCCACCGGATTGCGGGTTTCCCGGGCCATCACGCACCTTTGCTCAGCCGATCCTGGTGCCGGGGGTGAGTCAGAGGGGTGCTTCTGCCGAACTCCTAGACCACATGTATGTGTATATATGTTTATGTATATATGCTAGATACATACTCACACACACACATATATATATATATAGATAGATAGATAGATAGATAGATAGATAGATAGTCGACACCGTAAAGCTCCTCTCATGGATCCGGGCCTGCTTGTGCAAGTGAGCGAGTCGAAACCCCTCAAGTAGGCCAAGTAGGCTCCCATGATCCTGCTTCTGCTTCCACAAGGGCCTATAGTCTGTGTTACTGCCTTTATAGGCATAGAGATCGTGTTTGTGATGTCCCAGTAGCAAGCTCGGACCCTGTAATGCCATGCCAGCCGAGTGCAAGTGTGTGAGTCGAAAGTAGGCTCAAAAATCATCATCATCATGCTGAAAGGCTCGCTACTGCCAGATATGTTCCCAGTAGTTGTGTGCACATCGGTCCGTTTTTCTTACGAGATGCATGCGTTCAATCCAATCTCAAACCCGGCGGTGTGGGGCCAGCGGCTCAGCAATTGACACCTTGCTGCTAGACTTTCACAGGTTTTTGTTCGGCACCCCCTAAACCCATCTTCAAAGGCACTAGAACACTTCAAAACCCACACGGCCTTAACAGGCTTTTTGTTTGGGTGCGTCTTGCGGCTCCTACACTCCCTAGACCCTCTAGATCCCTAAATCCTGTGTGAACCCTAGGAGGAGGCACAACAACCCCAACGCCTTACCTCCCTGCAGCCCTGACCCTAAGTCCAAACCCGAGAAACCTTAAACCTAAGCCCTTAACCGCCTCAACCCTGAACTCCTAAGCGGCTCCTACCCTTCAGCCGACGTCCCAGGTGCTGGGTTCCTGAGACTCTTCAGTCGCAATCCCGGAGCTTCGCTGTTCCATTTTCGGGTGCGAAAGAGTTTTTGGGGCGCTTTTGGGTTGTGCCCGGTTTCAGGTTTTCAGAGTTGCAGGTCGGAGCTGTGCAAGCTCTAGGCTTAGCTAGAGAAAAAGCATAAAAGGGTCTCGGAACCACGGTTTAGGGTTAGGTTCGGGCTTTATGTCGGGGCTGGGGGAGGTCAGGGGAGACGCAATCGCCGACAGATGCTCAGCTGCTTAGTAGATCTTCGTAGTGGAGTAAATTACCTTGATCTAACTTCTGATATCTGTGTACAGTAATTCCACATATCCACAGAGGCTAACCTGTAGTCAGTAGTCCCCTAAGAAACTTGGACAGGTAAGACTAGTTTGAGTAGGTCCGACCAATAGGTCTAGATCTAATTGCAAAGTCCTGCACCGGCCAACTGGCTCGGCAGCGGTGGGCAACCTCTAACTAGACAGGTTTGCTGGGCACAAGTGCGAGGTTAAACTTAGCAAGTTCTGAGCCTCCCTTCCGCCCACCCAGCTGTCCTAGCCATACATCGTCAATCGAAGCCTTCCGTCTCGAACCCCCTCCAAACCTAGAAAGCAAACACGGATAAGTCCGAAACCCACCGAAAATCCTAAAATCCTATCCCTGAGCCGGCTGAACCAAGCCCTAATACCCGAAAGCCTTGCACATAAGAAGCACAATAACACTGAAAGCCCTTGAGGTAGCAATCCAGCGAAGATCTTTTGGGTCTCTGCCTCCGCTCTGACTGTAGTAGCAACCTCAGGAGAGGGTTCCGGGCAGGGTTTCGGAGGGTTTCGGCAAACTTTGGGTTTCAAACTACGGGGGGCAACAGGGTTTGCAGTTTTTATAGAGTACTTAGTGCTATTGTTAGGCTTCGGGATTTTGGTGTTCATGTTAGCTAGGATTTCAGATTCAGGGTGTGAGGGTGCTAGGGCGTGGGTCCTCTTTCTACAGAGCCAAGCTTTCAAGTTGTTGCCCTCCCCGGAATGCTAGGACGAGAGTACTAGAATGACTGGAATCCCTTAGCAGGTTTCAGGGTTGTGAAGTTGGGAGCAACCCCTTACTAAGAGACCCCACATTCCGGCCACAGAGGCATCTCTAAAATCTTCGACGTAAAGCTCTGAAGCTTTGAGCCTCAGAAAAATCCTGCACCCTAAAGCCAGTTATAAAGTCTTTTCATATGCTTTAAAGCCTTGAAACTCTGCGTCTCCCCGGGCTCTAAGATACCCATGCCCCGAAAGGCAGAAACGCAAGTAGCTTACGGACGCTGAGCTCCCAAGAGCCCCCCAAGCCGAAATGCTAAACCACCCCCCCCCCCCGGGCCTTGAAGCTAAAGTCCGCGAGCGAGGTGCTTGGGCTTATTGGCCTGGCGTCGGTGCCTGAAGCTTAGTCCCCGACCTCCGCAAATTCCGTCAACTTGGGATGTCTCACAATTAGGTTTTAGGGTTCATATTTCGATGATGTGTAGGGTTGGCAAGGGTTTTTGTGTGTCGTCGTCTTCGGGAGGTTTGGTTTTAGGTGCAGTGGCTTGCAGGGGTCCCAGCTCGGGGTCTTGACGGTGCAGGCCCGGCTCTTTGTGGTTCCCTTAGCCGCCTTAGCCTTCTGAACCTTTGTAGTCTCCTTTGGTCCGGCCAAGGGCCAAAAAATTACTTGTAAATTTTTTTGCTGTCGAAGAAGAGAAAAACATCAAGGGCTGAAGGCCTGGACTGGCTGGTGGCTGAGGCAGTGTAAAGGCTGTAGAAGGCTTCTGCGTCTTTTGTGCCATTTTGGGCTCTATGGGTTTCGGTTAGTGGTCTTGATACTTTTTGAGCCGTCGGGTTTTGGGCTCACCACCCATGCAAGCTCACGACTTGTGTTCCACCTGTAGACAGCCCTAAGACTGACTCCTAAACCCGAAACCCTATGAAGGCCTTTTTATGCTTTTTTTATCAACCCACCCGGAGCCGAGGATCAATGCTGTCCAGATGGAACTGGAGTTGGGAGGCAAACCTGCGAACCTGTTTTTCCCGAGGCTTAAATGTTGAATGTCTCTGGGTGTCCCGAGTTCCTAAGATCAATACCGTTGTTGAGAAATGTTTTCCGGGCGTCTTGTTATGGTTCAGCATCGATACACCCCCAAAATCCTGAGCACAAATATTCGATGCGCAAAATCCTAAGCTTCCTCCGGGTTTGGGTCGTCGTTTCACATTGTGTTTTGAGGGAAGGGGGCCGGGGCATTGGGGTTTTGGACTGGGTCTAGAGCGGCGTGGGATTTAGGGGTTGACTTAGGGTTTGCTGGCTCTTGGAAGTTCACAATGTTCCTGACCTTGTGACGCCGATTTTCTCAGGGTGATCAGAATCTTCCATGGTCCCTGGCCAAAAAACCCTCTACGTAAAGCCTTTAAGCCCACAGGCATTTGCATTCTTAACCGGGTTCAGCAAAGGCCATGGCGAATTGGGGGAACCCCGACTACATCCTATGCGTTGAAGGCCGTGCGCCCGGCTAAGGCTGCAATGCTCTTCTTGTGGTATTTCTGCACCCGCGTTCAGTGTGGTCAGTGCAACGCTGCCTTTGTCACCTTGCCGGGATACGTGATGGGCGCCGTGGCGAATGGGGCAGCGCAGTGGTGGAGTGGAGACGGGGGATTCGACGGCGTCAAGATGGCGACTTTGAGGCTACTGGTTTATCTCGCATCAGCGTTGCGTTGGCCACCAGAACAGGACATTCGACCTTGTGGTGGACGCTGATCCCGGCAGTCTGCATCTTCAAACGCTTTTTCACCTGGGCGGGGCTCCTTTTCCTGGATCTTCCACATGCTTTTGCCTGCTGGCTCCCTGGGGCGACCCATGGGCTTCCCGTTGCTCCACGCAGAGTTCTTGAGGCCGGCAGTGGCCTGCCGCGAAGCTTTAGTTTGCTTCACATCGCAAATGGGGATGACGACAGGGACTCAGGCAAACTCAACTGTGCTGGCTGGAACTGCCGAGGTGGGGTTCGGTGGCCGAGGTGGGGTTCGGTGAGTGTGGTTGGCCGGCAACCGACGAGCTGAGCACGCCGGCAACCATCTTCAACACCTGCCTGTTGGTCTTAGGCGTGGTGCTTGTCCCGATCCACATGTGCGTAGTCGTTGCAATGTGGTCTTGAACCCCACATATTCGTCTGAAATCAAAAGCCCCTCTGCAAGGAGCGAGATTCTGATGAAGCAGCGCGAAATCGACGACTTCGCGTTGCGAAATCGTCGATTTCACGCTGCTTCATCAGAATCTCGTTCGGCAATCGGCGGGCCAACGCACGGAACTGAACCTTCTTGCAGAGGGGCCTGGAACGGATGCCCAAGCCCAATAGGAATAA